TCTCTCTCTCTCTCTCTCTCTCTCGCCGTAGCGATATCTTCAGCGCAGCAGGTACGTAGTAACCCAATCTTGTATCGCTCAACCTTTCCCTCTCCTCTCTCTCTCTCTCTCTTCTTCTTTGTCGTGGTCTTCTTTGCAGGTGCGCGGCGGCTTCTCCAACCTTCGGGTCCGCTATGGCGGACTATGGCTTCCGACGGCCACCTCTACTATGGCGTATCAGCCCCTGCACACGACGGCGCGCATGGAATAGCGGGTACCAGCTCCGATACCAATGCATTCAGACTTGTTTTCATCCACACTTTACGTGCATGCAAACAGTAGCGCAGCAAACTGGCGACATGCACCCACTCAAAACTCAGAGATATGACAACCCAGATAAGAGGTCACTTCCGATGGCTATGACGTCTCAGCGCCCAAACAACTCTCTGTTCGCATACACCGGATCACCCTGGATATCCCACACTCAACTCTCCGAACACTCACACACACACACACACACACACACACACACTGAACCTCGTACACACACACACACACTGAATCTCATCTACAGCTATGGCGGCAATGGCCGCTGCTACCCTATAGCTATGCTACGCCCTTCTCTCTCGCCCACTTTGTCCTTCGGGCAAACTGCAGACCTCCTTGCACAAGTCGCTGTGACAGTGCTTCCGCATGGCTCATGCATGAATGAATGAATGGCTGGGCGTTGCCTCTTGATTTATACTTTTGAAACTCGGGTGGTCTGCCCCTTTCCATCGGCCCATGGTGCTCACAGTCCCTCGTGGTACTTGCTGGACCGGACTGGGACTGACTGGACCTTACCGCTGACTGACTGGGGACTCACTGCTATCCTACCGGGGTCGGACTGGAATCGCACTGCAGTTTTAGTCCACCACTTGACTCGCCACTTGACCACTTGCCCACTGGCCGACCTTCTATAAGGACTACAGCTAAGACTTCTGGAACTGACTAAGACTTCTATCCTACAGATCTACAGAAGAAACCCCCTACTACCTACGGACCTATGACAACCTACCAACGGTTTACGAATACACAGGTTGCAGGTTCATCTCTCGGTGTATACACAGGTACTGTACATGGGTAGGGTGAGGTCTAGGGATCGAGCCCTGGGATCTGCAGCTGCTACGGCAAAGAGGTGAAAACTGTTTCATGGCTGTCACTGCTAGACTTGTCGCTGATCAGGAGGCATTTAAGGAGATCCCCCGTAACTCCTCAGGAATTATTTAACGTCGCAAACAGGACGACGCAGGTCTCTCAACACTTAGACGGCCTGTTGTGCAGCCCACCGAGCAGCCCGACGGTCAGTACCGGTCCTTGGGAGGGTTAGGCCTCCGGGACAGTCGAGTCGTCAGACACAGTCTTTAGCCCTACTCAGCCCGTGTGGGTTTGGTCAACAAGGCCCTATCCTTCATCCACAGAGTGCTATCACCTAGACAGAAGA